TTTATCTTGCAATCAAGGAGCTCTGTGATATTTCCAATGATGTTATCATTGTCACAAGCAGGTGAGCGGATTTGTTCAGTGTATCTGGCACACAGAAGCTAGCAGATTTTGCACATCCTACTACTGAAATATTTATTTTACGTGATTATTCACCAGACAACACCTAACTAACACGTCATGGTATAATGGTACATTTTACTAAAATTAAAAAATATCAAGTTGAAATTAAACTACTAAGCATGAATGTTTCGGTCCTTGAAGTCGTATACATTCCTGTTCAGCACCGCAATTGGGCCTCTGATTAGACCAAAATACGTTAAGAAAAACAGCCTATCACCGCGTATATTCAATATGTAATGCTTATATGCTGTGCAAATATGTTTTGTTGTCTTTGTTTTTTCCACTTAACTCTTTTTCACTTTTGAACGTTTTTACGAGCTTGATTAATATTAAAGTGCATTATTACGGACTTGTATTGTTGACTGTATGAGTCTGTTAGTCCCTTTGATTCGATTTCAAAAACACGGAAGTCAGAAAGCTCGATTTTTAGGAACATCCTCAACCTCCTGAAACGCGTAGCCTTTTGCAGAGAATTAACTTTTACTTCCTGTGTCTTGACCTATGAATTCAGATCGAAATTTAAAATAATTTGACACTCGTGAGTGTGGGAAAGCTGCAAACTGTAAATTTAATTAAACAAATAGTATGAAACAGATAAATAAAGCTAAATTTTATAAGCAAAAGACCAAGAAAGGCCAGTTTTAAGGGCTTTTTTGGGATTAATGCATGGACAAGTTGGGGAATATGAGCGTTGATGGGTCGTTTTTTTCTCATGCATTTTATGGCATTAATGAACAAGCTACGTTTCAATAATTTGGATAGCTGTACAGTGAAAATTTGAGTGGCGTTAATGCTCTTGATGAATTATTTTCTGAATTATTTTTTATACAGCCACTTCTCCCAGTGGTGCTCTTTCAGCTTGACAAAAGATATGACGGGACGAGAAGATGTCTACCGGGCTCCATCAATCCGGGCTTTGTGCTGTGTAATTGACGGAAGCATGTTGCAAGCCATCGAACGCTACATGAAACAGGTAACTCATTTATGCTATGTTTCGCCTTTTTATGCAATAATAGAATAGGAAATAATTTGGACTAAGTGTCATAGACAAGAAAACGTGTTTGGATGCAATCTGTGTTTCATCCCTCAGCTGCAAACACATACCGAGCGTAGTATGCGGGTGAAAATGGGAATCATCAGCACAGCCTCCTACCCACCATGTATGTGATGGGTATATGTCAAATAGCATAAAACCCCCTAATCACTGAGGAGTTTTTATGCTCTTCGTAGTTTGGTCACTGCAATTTGAGCTTCGGACAGAAAAAAAGCTTGCAAGCACACATGTAAATGCATACTGGTGAAAAGTTGTTCAAATGTGGCCATTGCAATTCAATCTTCGGACTGACAAGAAACTTACAATGACTGCTAACTAAACGCTGACGGAACAAAGCGATGATACTCAGTACATACCAAAGACTTCTGTAGTCCGACTAAAGACTTCTCAGCGCGTTTGTCGAAAAGAACCTGAATTGGTAATGTTCAGGAGATGAAACGAATGTTTAGATTGCCAGTTTGTTGACCATCACTCCATGAAGCATTGGTTCAGGGCAGCTGAAAAAGTCGCCAGCTTTTTAATCGAGAAGCAAACTTTGAATTACAACTGAACATTAGTATTCTATATGCTTATGACATTTTATATTTTTTCGCGAAATTTGAATTTTTTTA